AAAACTATCCCGTAGCAGACGCACCCTCGAGCGTCCACTCGATTAACGCAAACCAGTTAACCATGGACCTAAAGGCCACGGCCGCATCAAAGTTGCATGACTCGGCGGTCCTGAGCCTACAAACTAACAGCCCCCACCGTCTCCAACCAGTAAAGCTTTGCAGATCGTAACGTAATAGCATGTGGCAATCGGGGTAGTACTGAATTTAGGAATACGAGAACCCTTACCGCAATGCTCAGAACTGGATTGGCTCCAAAACGAACTGCGGACACAAATAAAATACAGGAGGCGGTACAAAGAGAGTCCTGGCTAGCGACCGAAGCAAGAGTGGGGCCCATCCGACCAGACGCGCAGACGCAGCGGCGGGAAGTGCCTCGCGAGACAATGTTGACTGCCACCCGAAACGAGCGAATCGACAATTACAGCCCGACAGACAATCCGCAGCTAACGGGAAAGATACCCACCGAATGCCACAACGTTGGAACTGTCGATCAACGCATCTCGCACCGCGATCAGGCCAAACCAGTCGGAATGGCACGCGGAAGAAGAGGCAACGTACGTGCCAAGTGCGGATCAAAACCATCAAAGAATGACCCACACAAAGAGGCATGAATCATCCCGCCGAGCGGTTGAGAATTGATTGTATATAATTGGACGCATACACCGTTTGTTTTTGAATTGGATCAATAGACGTTTCCCCAGCCAGCTCTCCTTCTCGCTACAATATGATTGATCAAACGACCATCGTCCAATCACGTAACCGTTTGCACCGACGCATCATATGTACTAACTCCGATGTCATGTTCTCCCAGTGTACCATAGGTCGAGCTTCCTAAATGGTGATTGGATGGCATGAAGCTGTATCTGGTCGTTCCTGGATTGTGATCACGTAAGTCTGGATCACCACAAATCATCTGTGAATTATCACAGGCTCCTCCCTATCCGTTTGTTACACAACCCTTCCGTCGATCAACTTTTTGGCTGCTTCACTTGTCTTATCCTTTTTTACGCGCTTCAGTGGAACTCACAACTGAGCGTTTTGGTTAGCCTAACATCAAGGAAAATATCTGCGAATGGTCCCGCGCTTGCCTTCAATTCCAACGCGTTAAGGTTCGCAGGTACACCAAATCACCAATAATTAGGTTCCACGAACGACCAGCAAGTTTTCAGCGCGTGCACGTTAATCTGGTAGGGTCCTCACCTCCCTCTAAATGAGACGTCTACCTGCTCACATTAGTTGATCGTTTCACCCGAAGGTCACAAGCTATCCACATTAGAAAACCGACTTCAAGTTCAGCTGCGGAAGTTTTCCCACTGGTTGAATAAGTCAATTTGGTTGCCTTGGTCTGGTAACTATTGATCGGCTCCCAGTTCGACGGTGCTTCCAATAGTCCGTTGAATACATCCCTTTGCCGCCACATTAGAACGACAGCGTACTATCCCCTCAAGCCAACGTCTTAGGGGAACGTTTTCAACGCCAAACGAAAGCAGCACTGCAAGCCCAGGATGATCAATCTTCAATTGAATAATTTCCAAACATTATGCTAAGTTTGCGTAACAGTCAAGGAAGAGTTAAACGCCATCCCAGCGCAGCTAGTAAATGACTAGCTAGGAGCCAGGACTACTTGTATGCAGAGCACCCCAGGTTTTGTAATGTGACTCTTGGCTCAGGCAGACTTCTTACATTGGCGAAACCTTTGAGTGTATTCTCTGAAGTTCGCATAAAATCCGACCTCCCCAAGTCCATTTGAAAGGACCCAACGCGTCCAAAGGGCCCAAAAGAACACAGTTCTAGATAAGAAGTATCATCATGGACGGAGTAAACGAATCGCGGGGAAGCGATCTATAAGAAGATGCACAGCATGACCTTTCATAATGGAGCTATGCAGCCGCCAAGCTGGAAATTGAGATATTAGTGATCAGCGGCCTAGGATAATTACCTAGGAAAACACATCTAATGCATACATCATAGCCCAGAATCCTTCGATTCACACTCCTCGCCGAATACATGACTCGAGAGACCGTTAAGAAATGGCATTGTCTGGAAAGCAAGTTCCATTCAGACCTGCATTTTCGTCGATGCAGACCAAGAAGCGAACGCTAAGCGATAAGACGTGCAAGTGAAACCCGGAAGCAATGCCAGTCCGGCATCTGACCAACTATTCAGGTTGCACGGTTGATCAGAGTGCTCCTAATAACAAAAAAAGTCAACATTGCCCGCGTAAACAATGTTGGTAGTCTAAACCAAGTTCGTACCAAGTTCGTATCTCCCGAATAGATCAAAGAGTAACGCGTAGCCGAATCCGGATCACAGAACGTCAATAAAACGAATGATCCAGCAAGTTTCTACAGTAATGCATTTTTAAACGATCAAATAAACAAATGAAAACTGTACACACCTCGAATTGATCTCGAAAAAACTTGAAAACAAGAGCCAAGTGCTACCGTGAGCGTAATGCAACAAGTATGAACGGAAGAAAATAAGCCTGGGTAAGAACAGCACGCTCACCGTTACGCTGCACACAAACGAGCCAAATGTGAGCGCTCAAGTCGCGAGTAAAACAAGTAGGGTACGAATGAAGCAGATAAACAAACGAAGTCAAATGGTAGGGTCAATGTGTAAATATACAAAGAGAGTGGGATGTCAAATGTCTATGTAGGTGTGAGGCGGATGATGTTGAGTAAATGGAACGTGAAATGTGGAACCGAGATAGATTGATTGGGCATTACAAGAGGGATTTTCACAAATCGTTTAATACTTTGCCCAGAGAAATCCTTCCTCACGTTAAACAGTTAAAGGGAAATTCGAGGTGGTACCAATTCTTACCCTAACTACCTAATCCCTACAGTCTTTATGCCATTCTATCGAGCCTACCGTCATCCTGTCCGTCTCCACCAGCTCACGAGCTTAGCCACAAGCCGTTTCCCATGACTCACAGTGCCTCCCTTGCCAACCCGGAGAATTCTTCAGCGGCTTGAGTTCCCGGTTGATTCTGCTTCTTTCCCCTCCAGGTAGCAGTTTCGGCGGATGTCTCGCAAGGTTTCGCCGGCTGCCTTTTTCAATTTTAACCGTGCGCACAAGTCCGTCGTCGTCCTTTCTTTGATGATCGCTAGGGTCCATTCATTCCGCCG